ACTTCAAGGAGGGTTTAACCAGGTCTCTACAACAGGAGAGACAACTGCTTTCCATACTGTAACAGGAGAACGGTATTCTATTTGCTTCATTTAACACAGGCGGAAAAGAGGTTGCGCACCAAACCAACTTAGAAATCCAAGAGCCAAATTTTGCTCTTAATCCCTCATTTCCCTGGTGTCCATCTCATATGACCCCTCTTTCTCTTTGTTCCAGCAGGAACCCTTTGATGATTACCTTCTGTATTCATCTTTGATACTTACTTTTTTTTTCCTGAATATGGAATTTTAAAGTTTTCTTTAATATCCCAAACCCCAGTAGCAATAAAACGGAACAGAAGGAGCCTGTCTCAGAGACCACAGACGAACACACAATCTCACCTGGACTCACATGGTACTATTTTTACCACAGATACGTTCAGAAGGCTTTTGCAAGCTGCAGCCAAACACTGCTGCACGGGCAAAGCTCTAGCTGGGAAGTTAAGCGCGGCTCAAAAGTTTTCATTCAGCAAAAAACAAGAAAGAATTTGGCATTCATTCCCACGCAAACACCAATGCACCCTCCTTGGGAGGGACCAATTATTTTCCTTTCCATCTCATGCTCAGGCCAGTCATCCTCCATCACTTGATAAAACACATGAATAGCTGCATTGAAAGCTGCGGCAAACAGAGACATCTCAGTAAAGCTCTGTAAAAACAGCTATCCGGAGCACACCAAATAACCGCTTCTCAACGCGCTGCCCATATGCATGCCCTTTATCGAAAGAAGCCCGTGACTTTGGCAGATGTTGGATGCTTGCAAGTAGGTCAGTTTGAACGGGAGCGAGCCGAGGCTAAAGGCTAGGGAGAGAAAATTAAATTGCGCTCCTGCTCCGCAAACTGTGGCTGTCAAACCGAGAGCTCTTCGCCTTCTGCTAAAGCCACGATTTCGCCACTGGCTAGGCAAAAGATCTGACTGGCAGGGTGATGAAATGCCGCGGCGACAAACCATCAGGAGCACTTGGAACGTTATTACCCGTGAAAATATTCCAAAATATAATCACGTAGGAACTCGGGGAAGGTATGTGAATCAGCCTTATCGAAATCCTCATCGCCGCACGGCCGGCGTGACTGATCACACTGCTGCATTCGCCCGAAAGGCACAAGGCTCCGGCTGGAAAAGGGAGGTTCCAGCCTTTCCCTCCCAGTGCCATCTGCACCAGTACCATTCGGCTCTTTAATTCACAGACCTACGCTGCAGGAGAGCAGCCGGGGGTGGAAATCATCTGGGCTTTTTAAAAGTTGCTGCGAAAGCCCTGAGTAACTTCTGCAGCAGGAACACCCGCAGACGACAGGCAGCGTTTTCCCCCGCTGCCACTGCAGTTGCTGGGAAATTCAAGTTTCCAAAAGCACGCAGGAGTAATTAGATGAAGCCAAATAAATGCATACACAAAACCTTACAAGAAATATGCAAATAACAGGGTGTATTCAGCAGCCCCAGAAATTAAAGCAGCAGCACAGGCTTGCATTTGCATAAACTATGCAGGACATGGCACCGAGTCATTTTGGAATGTGCATTTCACAAACAGCCAGTGCAATAATTGACAAATATTTTGGAACATGAAATTGATCAAACACTCCCTAAAACTTCCCATGAAGAACCTCAGAGACACAGTACTAATTAACCATAGACATCCACCGTTGGCATCCCGGGGTATTTCCACCGCTGAGTTCTGCGGGAAAGGAATCGGACTTTATAGATTTTTATCAGCATTTATTATTTATAAAGCCCTGTTGGCAAGCACAATGTTTTATGAACAAATAAAAGTGAATGATCTTTGCTTCAAAACCACATAATGAATGAATGTCTACTTTGTACATACATTCAAGTGGGCGCTGCTAGTTTATTGTGCAGAAAACACGGAAAAAAAGAAGCTTTTGCACTTCTAAAAAGAAATAACAATATCCACTTCTAAATGTACTGACACGAAAGCCAAGCCAAATCAAAACTGAGCTCTTCAATCACTCCTGAGAAGCCAAGCCCCTGCCTTGTTTAAGAAAACAAGCTGAGTTTTTGCCCTCACCGTCTCCCCGCGCAGAGCAAGGCAGACAAAAAAAAAAAAAACCACGAGGAAACCAACTTGTCGCCGTATAAGGCGAAAAAAGGTTTCTCTTCCTGAGTTACAAATAACTAGGGAAAGTCACACATGTGGCCAAGCAAAGCAGAAGTATGAATACAGTACTCGCTCACTGCTGGCAGGCTAAAATTAGCAGTTTATTCAACTGCCCAGAACTACGCGCTGTGTCCGTCCTCCGCAGCATCTCCCTATTTGTCTGTCTTTCTGTTTGCTCTCCGCTTTGTCTCGCCCGCTAATTTGTCCCTCGGGGAGCAGCCCGGCACGCCACCGCCGAGCCCAACAGCCCCAGCTCATCCCAGGAGCCCCAGTAAATGAATATCCACTTGCAGTTACACCTGGGCAACTCCGCAGTGCCTCCCCTGATTTCATCCTCACGACGGCACCTGAGAACAGCACTCGGCCTCACGGGACGCTCGGTCTGCAAAAACCATTAGGTCCCGCACACCTTCCACCAAGCATCTCCTGCTCCCGCTCCCCCACGACACCTGTAAGCACAGCGCTCGTCCAGATTCACTTCAAGCCCAGATTTACCCTCCAAAGAGAATTCCCCCATTGCATCTGTTCATTGTATGAAGGGCTGTGTGGTATTTGCCATGACGGAAGACAAATTATACAGGGAATGGAGGAACACTTGCCCAGTGCAGCTGGGCCACTGCTTAGGCATGCTGGGGATTGTTTTGAGTTTAGTTTTTCTTTTTTTTTTTTTTTTCCTCACCCCTCACTGACCAGTTGTCCGTCGCTGTTTGTGGATCCGGCTGGCCATGGGGGCACGCTGTCACGCTGGTGGGGACAGCAGCACCCCAGGGGGGTTAACCCCTCGGAGGAGGGAGGGGGGGACTGCGGGAACCGCGGTGTTTTCCAGCCGGTGGGGCTGGGGTGCGTGAGAGGGGAGGGAGCACAGCACACGGCACCCCACGAGAGATGGGGAAAACAGGAAAAGAAACGCTGAACTGGTGAGGAGACAGCAATGCAAAGGAGTTTGAGGAAAATGCCACGCTAAGGGCTACTACTGCTGATCCCACATGCTCAGAGACTGTAGCGCTGTGCCAATATAGTCCTCTAGCAGAGCTCCACGTTTCCAGCATACTGGTGCCCACTGGGTGACATCACTTCAGTGGGCTCTTCCTTGGCCGTTACTTTGATGACGGATTATCCCACGCTCATTCACGCTGACAGCTCATTTTACAAGTAGCTCATCGGAAACAATATATTTACTTACTAAGGTGTTACTCATATAAAAGAGGCATGGCCCTGTCTGGCTCCTCCAAATGAAGCGATACCCACCTATGCTCACATAGCATATAGAATTACTGAATTTACCTCAACAGATGTGATGTAGTTTCCCTTGGAATTACAAATACATTCCAAACTAAGCTGCTGTGTTTTATTACATGGTGATGACTGCTAAGTTCCATTTCATATTAATCAGGAATATTAACAATGGTTAGTTTAGCCACACACCTTGAAAAATTATAGCTCACGTTCAGTACAAATCTGCATAAGTAGTTTGAGCATGTGAGAGAGGAGCAGCTAAATACTGAATACAAGTGCCGAATGCGGAGATCTTACACTTACTGTATAATATATTACGTGTATGGCCTCAAAAAGCCTCAGAGATTATGAATACATCTCTTTTCCATGGAAACTATAATTCTCAAATCCAGCAAGCTATTTTGAGAAATTTAAATCAACTACACACACTTACAGCTGCTGGAAGAAGAACACTCCATTTTCACCGCCTGCCGCGCGCTCAAAAGGCACAAGCGCAGCCGTATGGACATCCTTCCAACTCTTCTACTACACTGCTGCCTCCGACACCAGATCTCACCGCGCAGATTCAGTGCAAAGTCTTATTTTGCCTCTTCTCTACATAACACCGACACTCACGGGGCCGCTGCGCCGGACACCGCTACATCACTTGATGAGGGAAATTAGTAAGGCGGGTGGCGCGAAGTAAATGCCCCACTAGATTTCCTTGGGATTTACTCCCTGCGAGCTGGAAAGGCTGGCGATTGAGCCGCCTTAGTGCCCAGCTCGGCAACC